AAAAAAAAAAATGGAGAAGAAAGGAAAAAGAAAAAAAAAGACTTAGGTATTATGCTGATTACATACAGCCTGCCAGAGTGCTTTCCAAAACGTGATCATTTTCCTCCGTGTGCACCCCCACTTCTCAACCCCAGCAACTCCTTTCCTGTCCGTTTCATGAGACCATCCAGGGTTGCCTTATCTCCAGCACTGAAAGCTGGCAAAGGGGCGGGTGCCTCAAAAGCACATTTTTAATCTGAGGGCCCTGCCATCAGATAAGAGGAGTTGGTTAATAGGTATCTGTCCTCATAATGTTGTAAAAGAGATTCCCATGTCTCTACACTGTTTCCCCACACTCTTGGAAGACCTGCCTTGCATGTCCCCTTCTATGGATGCCTGATCCAGTGGCACACATGGCTGGGCAGCTACCATGTGGCCTCATTCCCCAGTCCAGGGGTGGACCCCTGACCAGAGCTGAGCCAACCATGTTCTCATGGGGATATGGAATTGAGATTCTGAAACATTAGGCCCTGTTGACCCTTGGACTGAAGTGGGCACAGAGTTGAAGTGGCCATTTCCTTCCATGAGAGGGCCAACGCAGAGAAGGTCCCTCTGTATGTCTGCCTCACTCTCTTCTCAGTAGGGAATAGCAGAAATGAGAATGCACACAGCCTCAGAGAGAAGTTGCCTTGGAGTTAGGAATTCTATAGAAACCAAAAAATTACTAAGAACCAATTCCCAAGCTGCTTTGTACCCTTGTGTTCTGTGAAACATTTGTATCATTTGGATAAAATTGTCTTTAGTTTTAGAGCTAGTTTGAGTAGGTTTCTGTTAGCCTTTAAAAAGTAAATATCTACTGGCAAAAGAGCTTTGAGGAATTTATTCTGGGGTTCAAGACCCCAAATAATCCATGACTTGAAGGACTAACTCTAAGAGAGAGTACTTCAGACACAATACAAGCTATTAGAGACATATTTTGGGGCAGAAGGATCTACTTGGGGTCCTTCAAATTTGTAAGCATCTTCCTGGGCCATCTTCCTGGCCTTGGTGGGAATTCTAGAGGAACATGCTTGGCTAAGCTGTCTATGTCGTTTGCAAAACGGAGCATAACCAAGATTTTAGATCTCATAGATGGAAAGAATAATCAAAACTTAAGGTGGTATGCATTAGCTTATTGATCACAGGAGAAACTAGAGAGACCACTAAGAAACTGGGTGTGTGGGTTGTGTCCATGTGTGGAACCCATGTTTAATCCTTTAATTGTAATATCCAGTGGGGATTAATGAAAATTTGTATAAGAAATTTATGACCTACAAGAATTTGTCCATAATAATCAAAGGGCAGGACAAACCTCAAAGGTTTACATTGGCATGCAGAAGATATATTCAGACAGGAGTCCTCATAGAGGACTATTCTGATGATATTTTTTTCTTAAGTTCCAAAGCAAAATGCACCATCCTGTGGCAAATTCATGGGCTTCGTAAACTGAAGGATGCAAAATCAACAGACTTGTCTCCTTAAGTGCAGTGTTATGTCAGCACTCTAGCACAGAGAAAACACTCAAGTGTTCATTTCTTCTACAAAACATTAACTTTACCATGCTACCATGTAGCATTGCAACAATCTAGCCATCTCTTAAGCACCTCCTTGTGATAACATCTTGGTAGTTACAGCATGTGCTTTTATGAACTGCATTACATTCATTTCTCACAGCACTGTTCAATACTTCTCCCAACCCCTGAAAAATGTAGACTTTTATACTCTACTGCCTTCAAGACTGTACCCCTCAAAACCCGTCTTCATACATTCATCACCCGAATCTCCTTCTTCCTACTATTCCTGCAAGCACACACATCCCACTTGACCTTTACCCACTGAAATGTTTACCCAGATTTCAAAACACTGTTCCTAATTCAAGTCACTGCATTAGGTCTGTCAGCCAGGTTCCCAGCAGGAAATGTGTCATCTGCGAGCGGAGTAATTTTAGGAGAGTTCAAAAAATGGACTACTACAGAGGTGAGCAGAACTGGGAGAAGCACAGAGATAATGTGATGCCCCTAGGGCTAGCAAGAGCAGGAAGTTATTACGAGCGTTAGGCCTGGAGAAGCCAAGGAGAGGAGGTAACTATTGGAACCGAGAGTGAGAACTATAGACAGGTCCAGCTGACAGAAGGGAGGCCTTTCTAGAGACACGTAGGCAGACTTCTATGACCTGAGAGGGGAGGAACTGGGAGAACAAATACTCTAACCTCACCACCTAACCCCCACCACATTGCCTTGCATTAGCCAAGCCTCTCAGGAAACCAGAGGCAAGGGACTCATTGATGCAATCCATGCGGTCAGTCTCTCTCTGAGCACAGAGCAGGGGAGAGTGGCTCTGGAGGGCAATGAAAGAGATCCAGCAGGTATTCATGGTGATAAGGTTTTGCCCACTGCCACAGTGCTCAGCAATAATAAGTCAACAACACACTCAAGTTGGGACACATGTGTTCCCAGGAAGCTGACCCTGACATGGGCATTACATGCAGGAGATATATTCAGAGTCAATACCTGTGGTTCAAGACCTCTGAGCATCAGCACCCGTGGGAGATAAGGGCCTGAAATCTATCTTGCTGTTCCTTTGTCATAGTGACCCAAGGTCCCAACCTGAGAAGATTTAGCTTTGATTCCCAATAATGGAGTATATTTGCCTTGGCCCTTTCTGGACTTCCATGTCTTACCAGTTTACAAATGTCCACATTCTCCATACTTTCCAGCACAAATGGACTAGAGTGTGCACAGCGTGTGTGATATCAACCCCTGGAAGCCAAAAAATGATCCTTGTGGGGTTAGGGGAAGGTGAAAAAATCTTAGATATTACTATGGTCTGTGGCCCTTCAAAGGGCCATAGCACACAAACAGTTGTACAGTGTATCTGAGATAGTAAAACTCCATGAAGTGGGGAATGGGAGGAACAGAATTAGGGTAAAATATGTCAGAAAAGGCACACACCACCACCGGAAAGGTACAGTATAACTACAGGGCCGTCCACAGTGACCCAGCAGGCACAAGCAGCACTTCCAACCCCAGCCTCCAGCATCATCTGCAGGACTTTCTAGGGGCCTAAGTAATAAAGGTTTCCTCTGTTTTACTCCCTTGGGTAGGACATATATGGCCAAGCCAGAACCCACAACTCTGTAGCCAATGTGAAGGGGCTAAAACTGGCCAAACCTATCACATGATCCCATTAATTCATGAACTCTAGCTCTGTGACACAAGACATCTGATACTTTCCATGACCCAAACTTGAAATAAGCCATTACCCCAAAAACCCCATCTTTAACTGAGTGAGTATTAAGAGATCTGGGTCTGGGGCTGAGGTTGCTCATCATTTCTAGGCCATTTCTTTTTTTTTTTTTTTTTTT